GGGGGGGGGGGAGCGTGTTCATTCTGTTTCCTTTAGCTTTCTCTTCTTTTTTTTTTCTTTTTGTTTTGACTTTATTCTGATTCTGCGGCAACGTACAGAGCCGAATATACCCCCTTTGGGGCCCCTGCGGTACCTGGGGACCCCAGCAGCAACAGCAGCAGCAGCAGCAGCAGCAGCAGCAGCTAGATTCTGCTACTACTCACTCACTACATGCAAAGAGCTACTCATTCGTATTGAACTTCTCGAGGTCTGTCATTTCGCTTACGAAGTTCCCCTCTTGAGCTGTAGGGGCCCATTGCTGCTGCAGCAGCTGCATCAGCTGCAGCAGCTGCAGCAGCTGTCTCATCAGCAGCAGCAGATGTCTCAGCAGCAGCAGCAACTGTCTCCGCAGCAGCAACAGTAGCAGCAGCACCATCAACACGATTCACAGCGGCAGCTTCTCTCCTGAGTCACCACGAGCAGTTCTTGCTGCAGCTTTCTCTCGTCCTATCGGAGCCTACATTCAGGTGTACATACACCTCCCCCCCCCTTGACTCCAGCTGTACATACACCCCAGCCCCACCTCCTCAGCCCCTTGCAGCTGTTGGCTGCATGCGGTACTGACGTGCGGCCAGGGTGTGCTGAGCTGTCAGCGAGTTAGGGGAGTTTATAGCTGCTGCGGGCCCCCGCTGCTGCCGCTGCTGCTGCTGCTGCTGCTGCTGCTGCTGCTGCCGGCGCCTCAGCTGCTGCTGGGGGCAGGCAGCCGAAGCAGCGGATGGGGCTCTGGCAGCAACTTCTTTTTTTTATTTTTCTTTTTTTCTTGAGCTGTCGGTTTACCCGCGGCTGGTGCCCGTATCCACGGCAGCTGTCCGTGTGCTCCCCGCCGCCCAGATGCATCCTCAGCAGCAGCAGCAGCAGCAGCAGCAGCAGCAGCAACAGCAGCGGGGACTTTGGTCTGCAGTATGGAAATGAAGACGGAGCTTGCTAGGCCTTCTGCTGCTGGAGGAGCAAAGACAACCAGCAGCATCAGCACAAGCAGCACCAGCAACAGCAACAACAGCAATGGCAGCAGCTGCAACAGCAGCAGCAGCAGCGGCTGCAGTAGCAATAGACACTACAGCAGCAGCAGCAACGGCTGCAGTAGCAACAGCAAGTACAGCAGCAGCAGCAGCAGCAACGACAACAGCGATTGCCGCGACAACAAAACGACCAAATTCGCGCAGCCCATGAGGCCCACAGCAGCAGCAGCAGCAGCAGCAGCAGCAACAGCAGCAGCAACCGAAGCCCCAGAACGTTCATCATCAGCGGCAGCAACCACAGCAGCAGCAGCAGCAGCAGCAACAGCAGCAGCATCAAGCCCTGAGAGCGTAGCCCCCTCATCAGCACCTGCAGGTGGAGCTGGGCCTGCATTGCCGGCTTCTGCAGCAGCATCTGAAGCCCCCGACTCAGCAGCAGCAGCAGCAGCAGGAGCAGCAGCAGCAGCAGCAGGAGCAGCAGCAGGTGTGTTAAGAAGATCTAAGATATCTGTGGAGGAGCTGCAGCGGCTGTATGCTGCTGAGGGGCAGCAAAAGACAGAGGAGTGCAGCACGTACCCGCTGCGGGTTATATTGAGCTGCAAGGGCCTTCATACAGACTTTCATACAGACACAGGAGTGAGATACTTATATATTTTATTCTGGCTCCTGCTGCTGCTGCCGCTGCTGCTGCTGCTGCTCGTTCTGCTGCTGCTGCTGCTGGTGCTGCTGTTTTTGTAGAACGGGCGCATTTGTCTCGGTTATTGTGCTGCTCTCTATAAGCGTTAACATGTTC